GCTGGATCACCCCTAGATAGGAAATCTACTACTGGGTATTGTGTGTTTGTTGGTGGTAACCTTGTCTCTTGGAAGAGTAAAAAGCAGACGGTAGTGGCGCGGTCGAGTGCAGAATCGGAATACAGGGCAATGGCGCATACCATTTGTAAGTTAACATGGTTGAAACATTTGTTGGAAGAACTTGGATTTGAACACACTTCACCAATGGAACTGGTATGTGATAATCAAGCAGCACTTCACATTGCATCCAACCCAGTGTTCCATGAGAGAACGAAGCACATTGAAATTGACTGTCACTTTATTCGAGAAAAATTGTTGCAGAAGCAGATTGAGACTAAATATATAAACTCAGCTGATTAGTTAGCTGATATATTTACTAAACCGTTGGGGGGCTCAAGGATAAAGTACATTTGTAACAAGATTGGAGCACACAATATATATGCTCCATCTTGAGGGGGAGTGTTAAAGGGTATTTAGGTCTTTTATGTAATACCTAGGGTTTCCTAAGGTTTTCCTAACTCTTATTATAAATAGTGGGACAGGCTAACACAATTGTTAAGCCTTCTAATTCTTTTACTTTAACAGACTCTTTAAACTATGTCTAAGTGCCTAATGATCTATATTGATCAAAGGGTATGTGACTAATGTTCTACATGTACAGGTGAACAATAGAGTACTTTTTCACGTTGTTCAACTACATTGAAATATTATTTTTCCATTCTAAACACTCTCTGTTCTTTATAATACCATTTTATCACATAAAGCTGAAAAGGACAAGAATACAAACATAGTGATATTTTAATGAATACCACACCATGACCTAAATCGAGTCCATAAGTCGGCACCAGGTTGTGATAACTGATAAGGTAATTGACGCTTAACCCATTTAGATAGTCATGAAGATTAAATAAGATATGCTACTGTGGCCAATATTATGCTTGCAAGGCTTACCATTCCTGGTGAAGTGCTTGAAGTAAATAATCTTTGTCTAAGATTCAATCCCCATAAACAAGTTTTATTTGAAATAAAAAGCATTCCTGAAAGCTATCTTTCCAATTGCTAAGGAGCCCACAATCCAACTCTTCTCAGTAGAAAACACTTTCTAGAACATTATATAACATATTCCCTTATTTATACAAACAACAACAAACTAAATCATATTCCCAATAAAATAGTCCCTTAGGATTTTTCCATTGTGACTCATGCTGGTTTTTATTTATTTATTTTATTTTTTAGAAAAAAATTAAACTTTTTCTTAATTATGTTGCTGGTGACCAAGGGTGAATTCATCAGTAAAGAGAAAAAGAAAGTTGCAACACCACAAGATCCAGTTGGATGTTATGCTATTGCTTACAAGTTTATTAGTTCTCCATAAATAAGGCTTTCTAAATCAGCAAAGCATCTTGGGACATCCCATTATTTTAGAACAACAGGTACTATCTCACAACAGTGTTTTAGGCAGGAGAGATTGATGCAACAAATTATAAGACATTAATAAACATATGGTAATGAGGTTTACCTGAACAAATGATGCAGTGTGGCCATTCAATTGTACAATTTGTTCAGTTTCCACGAAATTTGCAACATAACCATCAGAATCAGCTCCTCTTCTCCACATCCGGGTGCCTTCAAAAAGTTACAGCAATATGACCAACTAGACTAATAAGATAAATCAGATGATATGAAGTATACTTTATATGAACAGTATTCAATATTTTCAAATGCAAACGCCAAAAGCACCATTTTTACTCATCAAGGTCTCAATTAATTCATCCTCCATTCTCTTACACATGGTGGCTTCATAATTAATTAGGAAGCACAAAATACATTTAAGCAAAACCCGAGATCTAAGAAGTGTGTGTGAGCAAGCATACAACATGGTACCAATTGGCAAAAAATGATGTTACTCAACCAACTAACATAAGCCCTGATGGATTTCTTTTATATATGCCAAGTGAAATATCTCTTAGATACTCTGAAAAGCGTGGCTTGGCTAACATGTAGGCTGACAATAAAAAGCATGTGGCAGGAACTAAACATAAATGAATATATTGAATAAACCAAATGGAAAGATACTTCATATATTGACCTCCTAAACCCAACTCAAATACCTTATTACACATCCGTACTAATCTAAACAGAAATAGGCAAGTAGCTTGAACGATTCCTAATGAACTCTGACATCCCTCCACAGTTACCGACGTGGGATAGTTTTGACTAAAGCATTTGCCGTGATAAAGCATTAAAAACTTAAACATGTCAAGTGATGATGTGTAGGTGTTAAAGTGATTAATAAATTAATTAAATAAGTGGTGGTGGGTAAGGGGTCAGACAAAGACGTGCAAGGTCCAAATCCTCAAATAAACCAATTCATTCCCAGCTCAAATGCCAGTGACTCTGCAATAGAGTAAGTAGCAAGAACAACCCTGGCCTACTGTATGGTACTTGGTGGAGTTTGTAGCTTTGGCTTTTCATTTTTATATAGTTGGTAAAGAATTTGTATGCAATCATGGGCAAAGAGGGAAGTGCGAGCAAGTTATAAAAGGCACAGATTCTCAATACCAGTTCTCCTAGTGCATCTTCGTGCAATCAACATAACATCGAGTATGTCTTTCCCAATGGCAGCTTGAAAGTTCTGAAAACCTGATGACCAGTTAAGGCTTAACTTCAAAAGCAGTTAGATATGATATCTATTTTTGATTAGCTTAACAGCATAAGCTGCAAGTAAATCAGCTAAATTTGGAGCACAATAGTTTTACAACTGAGAAAAGGATACTCCCTTGAACAACAGGAAGTAAGTATGGGTCAAGCTGCATAAATAAGACACTATATTTAGTAAGTTTCATAAGTAGGAGCTCTGAAGCAAAAAAAATGTGTCATTTCAATGATTTGAGAACCTTGTTATCTATCAGCACTTCCATCATATAGTTGTTCCATAAAAATCGAGGGTCTGCCTGCAGAAAAAAAAAAATAGTCATCAAATACAGCATGTATGATAAGGTAGAGTCTGATGTGCAGATTTAGCTATCAAAATAACAGATATCTTGGACAAATATTCTTAGCTTTGCCAACCAACCAATATAAGCTACATCAGGGATAGCAAATATGGTTTCTACTATACATAATTTGGACATGCTCTATGAAACACAAATGCATAAGATCAAGAGAACATACTTGTCTCCAGAGTGGAAGCAACTTTGATTCATCACCCAGATCGTGCAGCCGTTGAGCACTGTAAGAAAAACCATAAATTCTGATGGAACTGACCGTGCCAATATTCAATATTGAAATACACGTGGCGTACAAATGTTTTTTAGTTGCCGCAAGAGAAATTATATTGGGATTATAATGAAAAGGAGTATGTCTTATGAAATGTGTGGATATTAAGTTGGCAATAGTTGCGGTTCTTGATTTAAATTAATGTTTGACTTTTACCTTTAAATTATAAAGGGAATATAATTTTATCCTAACGAGCACATAGTTTCCTATATGAATCAGCATTTTTAGTGTCCTACAAAATACTTACAACAAATAACCATAAACAACTCAATCGTATATCATAGGTCTAGGAGGGTTCAAACTAAAAGAGACAACTCTAATAAGTCTCACAAGAAACCTCCATTGATAACACTCACAACAAGAAGACAAACAAATAAACCAACAAATGATAACTAAAATTTGGAGAAACAATTTACCTTAAAGTTATATTCACGTCATATGAGAAATACAGACCAGGAGTTTTCTTTGCAACATTTAGCAGGCGATAAAACTCATTCTCCATTTTTTTCTGCCAATATATGGGACACAATATAGTGCATTAGAAGGAAACAGTTACACATGATTCAAATAGAAAGGAGAAAATTAGAAGAAAAAACAAACCTGTTCTTCAGAAGAATTTTTGAGAGATTGATCACAAGGAAAAATCTTCATGGATGAGATTTTGAAGATACGGTGTCCCAGATAAGATCCAACACATTCACGTTCCGTTATAACTAATAAATATGTTCCTAAAGGAAAGATATATAAACAACAAAGTTAAATTAAATAACACCTAACTGACCTAGGATGGCTACATTCTACGTTTATAACATTCTTTTTTACTCTGCAGATGTTCAACAACATTTTAGTCTTATTTATTTGTCATTAGAAAAGTTCGAAACAATCACATATATTTTGATACATCTGTAAACATGTTAAGGCATTGGTTCAATTCAATCTAACACCATATTCGATGTCTTATAGGTAAATTCCAATCACATCTCATACGCATTTTCAAGTTCTTCACTTTCAATACAATGTATATTCATTGCAATTAAAAATAGTAGTAGGAGGATTCAAAGATCACATTGGCCACCTCACCTTGACTATGGGTGGCCTAACTACAAAATCTTGTAAGAGCATTTGCTTTAAGGAGTATGGCTATGTGCCTATGCATAAGTGTCAGATAGATAGCACCTTTGTCATTTTTATTTTATTCTTCTCTTTTTGCTCCTTTTCTCTGTAAGTTGAAGTTCATTTGACAAACAACCCAGTAAAATTTTAATATTACAGTGTAAAAAATAAATAAAACCAGTGTTTTACAGCAAAATAGTAGAAGTACTAAGGAAAAAAATATGTTGCATGTACTACACTAGACGGACATCCAAAAGTAATATTCTATTTCCATCTCTTGGATATCTTTTCTGTTAATTTTGAAATTCAAATTATTCTGTAAAAATGTTTCCTCATTTTTACTATTATCAGAAAAACTGTTCTCTCTGACAATTAAAACTATGCTTATTTTCTTAAAATTCTAGCAAGGCTTACACGTACACCTTAGGCATTACACCTCACTCAACACCTTTACCTTTTCAAACATTGGTTCCAGCTTGTGTACTCTTCCTACTGGCATTGAAGAACTTAGATAATGCAACACTAGCATGTTTGTCAAACCTTGAATAAGTTGGATGCAGAAAGTTAAATATCTTGTACCCTGTGTTTTTATTGTTAAAAAGATGTTAGATGTAGTATTATACAGTCTTTCTCTAAAGAATTTCCTGACAAAAGAACTAAACATTTTTTGATCCCAGACCAAATAAACTGGCACTACATGCAAACCAGGCCAAGATATATTATAGAGAAGCGAAAGAAAAACCTGAGTAAGATACATCTTATGGATTTTAAACATCAAATTTTGATGCACAATGTAAACTACATATACTGTGAAAACAATCTTAGACATAAGCAATTGCAAGTACTACTCACATGACTTTAGGATTGGAAAACAGCAACCAGTTTAAGATTCCATATAACAAAGAACCTCTAGGTGTAACCTTTCACTCAAATAAAAAATTTGAACATAGCACAAGGTTGCATAAAATGAGGATAACAGATTAACAGCCATCTCTACAGCAACAGAAAGATTCTAAATTCAAATTATCGCCAAAAAAGGAACATATACAGCAATGAATCACATTTGTAAAAATTATACAGGTCTATGAGTTTTACTATTCACGCAGAAATAATGAATCATTAACCAACTGATTGATAAACATGTTGCAGGATTGACACAAAACTCTTGTCAGGGAAAACTAGCAGGTCTATGCGTTAATGCAGGCACTACATATATATATCTGATGGAACTACAAATATAAAGCACTTAAATTCCTGGTATCTTTATATTTTATAAAGTCGTTAACTTACCTGCTAACAGCTTGAGCATGCCAACCACACCAAAGATTGTCTGAATTTTAGGAACGCGAAGGGAGCTACATTGTGGTATCTCATCTGAAAAATGAGGAAAAACGATACAAAGGCAGGTAAGAAAACAAATATCATAAACCAATACATATTAAATGAATTAGGAGATGATAACCAATAAGATTGATGGAGGCATCGACGTGACTAATAGCCAAAAAGGAACCGGAAGATCCATCTGTGGGCTCCACGACATACTGATCGGGGAATTCCCAGAGCCGCATTCTGTTGTACAGCTTCTGTGCAGGATCCGCCCTCTCCATCATTGTTGTCGTTGTTGGATATTATCAATCGAATAGAATTAAATTCAATCAGCGGGATTTGATCAAATTTTTCATCAGTTTTTTCGCATCAAAAATGAAACTGCAACAAATTTATGAAATGGAGCGAAAGAAGAGATTTACCAGTCTTAAAAGTGAAGTAGAAGAAAAACCGACGAATTTAGGAGCCAAATCCAATCAAAAAATAGCACGAAATTTGAAAAGGAACTGGTCAAATGAGGACGAGAAAAATGAGGGTAGGCTCTGCTCTGTTTTATTTGAAACAGGTAAAAATTAACTTAAAAACTGGTATTGTTTCGCTTGGAGGCTTCCAAACGGAATTAACAGAATACTGTACACTTGGCGCAATTCCAAGATCAATATGAACCTATATCGTGTTACGTTTAATTAATTAATTAAATGAACTAATCTTTTGAGAGGTATAATGTTGTTCGAGCAATCTTCAATGTTACTCGAACCTCTTTTGCAAACTCCGACCAAGAAATTAACTAGTCTACTTCATTAATAATAGCACACTTTTTTTAGAATTATATTCATTATGATAGATTTTGGTCACATGAGAATCACACTCGGTAAATTGTAGAAGACTCTCATCGGCCATATCTAAAGCATAAACAGTTACGTCTCATGTGTTTTGTGTACTAGTTGCCATTGAACTCACCTTGTGAAACAACCACCGTAAGAAAACATTCACATTACCACCTACTAGTCACCGAACTACTGGACTGCTCCATTTTCTTGCCTCCCCCCTACCAACGACATGTACCCATTTGTCACTATGTAGCACCCCCTCTCGTCATAATGCAAGATAAGTTTGTTCGCCACCTCTACTTGGCCCAATGGAATATATTGGATAACCTTGCCATCAATGGGCAAAAAACAATAGCACCATAAGATCCTATTGGAGACTTCCAACAATCTACTCACTCACCTGCTCAAGATAAATATGTTTTACACGCTTAATCGCATTTTTAAATTTGATAACTAATTGCTAATTGAGCACATTTCTACTTAATTCAGTGCAAATATGATAATTGTAAGTAAAATCTGGATCTAAATGTATTTGAAGCAAAAGTGAAGGTTTTTGAACTTAATTGGAATTGATTCGAAGCATTTGATGGCTAACTAGATTGTATGTATTTGATAAGAAGTAATAAGAGGGTAATAGGAGGAAATCACAAGTTTTAAGAGTGAAATTCAATATTTGGAAAGTTTTTGAACTAAATTGCACACTTTTGAAACTTGCGAATGACCAATTTTGGATGATGATGGAGGTTCGGGAACCAATATGGAAGCTTTTGAAAATTGTGGGTCAAAATTATGATTAGATCAAAAAAGACAAAACGAAATTATTGAAATAGGGATCAAAGTACAATAATATAAAGCTGAAGGACTAACTTAGACATGTCAAAAAGTGAAAGGACCAAGTTGATGATATAAAAGTTAGAGAATCGAAATTAACAAGACAGAAAGTTCATGAACTATGCAATTTAATGTTGAAAAAATAAAAAGCATAAAAATAATAAAGGCCTGCATTGTTGGGACTCAATTTAAGCCCCAAAAAGTGGGATTAACTAAGGGAAAAATACATAGGAAAGGTAGTTACAAGATATAATTTTAAAATTAAGAAGCTTATCTTAAATTTTCAAAAATAAGGTTATAATTCAAATTTTATTAATTGAACATATAATTAAAAATATTTGATTGACTAAATAAGTAATTAAATGTATTAAAATCATAATATTATACATATTATAGTTAAAATTACGTACTAGTCCCAATTATATAATTTCATAATCATAAAATCATAAATTTTATAGGTCACAACTTATTTATCAATTACAAATTATCAAATTAATAGGTCACGCATTATTTCTCGTCACAAATCACAAATTTTATGCCATAAATTATTTCACAGTCACGAATTATCAAATTAATTAGTCACAACTTAACTCATTGTGAGTAATAATTATAAATTTAGTTGCAATTTCATATTTTTTTAAAGTCACATATTATTTATTATTCACAAATTATTATCGATCACATATTATTTATTTGTCACAAATTAATCATTTTATTTATCACAATCATTTGAGGAGTCAAAGTGGATTTCATGGCTTTTAGAGACGAATGTGGTTGCCGACGAGAGGGAGTGGCTGTTGAAGTGGAGTTTTGAGAGAGAGAGAGAGAGAGAATGATTTAATAATAATTATCGTTATTATTAAAAATTTGAATTATGACTTGATTTTTGAAGTTAAAAATTGAAAATCATGTGGATTGTGTAATTTCTACATTAACTAATTCTCCTTAATTGTCTATGAAAATCATGAGTGAGGCCGCATCAAGCAATTTGTTATCGATCCAATTGGGTGCGGTTAATGCTTTTTTTATTTTTATTTTTCTTGATTCATTTTGACACTTTTTAGACGTAACTACCAATACACTATTTTTATGTAACTATTTTCACTATATAAGGACCTCATCTAGGTGAAATTATAAGGGGCTGAAGTATACACAACATAAAAATGAGAGAAAAATCAATTGAAAAAAAAATAAAATAAGCTAGGGCTTTCAAATTCTTTTGCATGGTGAATACAACTTCTTGGCGTAAGATCATCAACTTTTTTTCATTTTCTTTTTTTCTAATTCGGTGATGTACTACAATTCTTTTTGATATTTTATGAGATTTACAATTTTTCAACTACACATTCTACCAAGTTTCATTAAATTTAGGGATAATTGCAGCAAGAGTCCCAAACATTTGAAACACTACCAGACTTTTCCCAAATTTTTGATTTGTTGCAGTGGGTAATTAATACATAACGTCCCTATATTTCATTGTTATTGTGCAAAACATTCATACATTCATTTTTTGACATTTTCACCATTCATTACGTAAAATGTTCTTTTCACCTAGTTTCTCAATTAAAAATTATGAAATGATGAATATACCATCTTTTTAATAAAAAAAAAAAAAATTTAATTGCAATCACAATCCCAATTTTCTTTAAAAAGCGCAAATAAATCATAAATAAACTATTAAAATGGTAATTAGTACATAATTTTTTTAAAGCTGAAGAATAAATTGCAATCATAGTCCCTTTTCCTAACTATATAAAAGAGGCTCTTTTAAAGGACAGGTGTCAACAATATGTATCGTCCTCGGGACGACGTCGTTTTGGCTCCAGGATCAATTTTATTTCTTCACGACTCACATTTTACCTATTTTATCGGAACCCTAGCAATCCCCTTGCTTCTTCCACCGCAGGAGATGCTCATATCTGTGAATCAGCAAAAGCATCAAGACAATCATCAAAATAAATCAGAAGAATCGTCGCATCAAGGTGACTATTTCCGATAATTTTCTCAGTTTGCCTTCAAAATACATCAGACCCATTTCCCTTCGTATGAAAAGAATCATCATATAAGGCCGCTTATTCCCCAAAATTTTCTTAGTTTATCTTCGAAATACATCACCCCCATTCTCCTCCCTAATCACTCACACAAGAAACCCCAGTAAGCCCTTTCTTCTGTATATCCTTCAGCTGCAAAAATCGATTTTTTTTCCTTCTTCAGTTGATTCCGTCTCAGGTGTGTGTAAAAACTCTCTTTTATTCTTTTTATTTCCCTACAGATTGTGTGCTTTTGGGGTTTATTTACATCATGTTTATATGAATTGAGGTTCATGAAGATTTTGAATTAATTTTATTAGGTAATTTTTACTGCAAAAAAATTGCCGTGGTTAATGTTAATTTAGATATGAATTGAGGTTCATGAAGATTTTGAATTAATTTTATTAGGTAATTTGTACTGCAAAAAAATTGCCGTGGGTTAATGATAATTTAGCTGCTTCGAAATTTTTTTGTTGGCAATTCAGTTTTTCTTTTTAATATTTGGCTGTAAAAGTTGGAGTCAAGAACTTACATTTCCTCTCTTGTTGGTCCCGATCTGTAAAGCTCTCTGTTTTTTTACTGCAATATTTCAGTTTTTTTTCCCTGTGACACTGTAAAAGAGCTCTAGAAACACCGTGCAATAAAGGAGTGATATTTGATATTTTGCAAATTTCTCTTTGATGACCAAGAACTGAAAAAGGGTAGTGGAGACGGAGGCATGTAGAAATTCCTCCGTCCAACCCGTTTTACACACTTTGTTTTCCATTTCAAAGCATGTCTCCTCTTTCATAGTTTCTTTGAAAGTTTCTTTTTTCCTCTTTCTCCTTCTTTTATTTGCTTTGGTTGCTGGTTTCTTTTTATCCTTTTGTAATTCTAATTCATTACGTATATTTGTGTATTTATCTAGGTTTTATATTATTTTATATAGATAGTTAAAGAATGAGATATTGATGACATGTGTTGTAGTATTTCATTTTGCCTATATACAGGGGGAGCAAATTTATTTGTATTGGTTTATATGTTTTCTTTTGCTTCATACTTATTTTTACCAATATTTCTTTTCTTTTCCCTTCGTCATGCTTTAGTTATTTCTCTTATGGATGCTATTGGTGATACAAAAAAGCGTAGCAGAGAGATTTATGCTAAAGGAAAAGACTTTCGAAATTCACGTCGCAGACAATTATACGCTGAAGCACGTGATGCATGGCAACAAAAACTACATGCTCAAACAAGAGCAATTGGAGTTAGACGTAATCATCTTACAAAGAGAAGAATAGAAGAAGGTATTTGTATAGAGTGTACTTACAGTCAACTTCAGGGAAATCATTCAATACGTCAAATATATTCTTAGTTGTTTTTGTAGTTTTCTACTATTTATGTGAATTGATATAGAGAAGTTTGCTTCTTTCCTTTTCTTTTCCCAATTGATTTGACTACACTTGATCCAGTGTGAAATTCAGCTATAACACTTTTGAAATATTTATATCTGTACATCTTTCGTGATGTTCTTCCCTTCAGGTTTTGTTAAGTTTTTTAATCTCATTAAAAACTTTGACTATTTTTTTATGAAATTGTCAAACTGAAGGGTGTAGT